TAATATTTCTCAGATGATATTATTGACACCTACTATGAATAATTTGCAAAGTTGAATTTGGATTTCTGTTTGTAGTTTGAATTGGCAACACCAGTTGTGTAAAAACCCAAGGTCTAATCCAGATATCAAAACCTTATTTACGGACCACAGCTGTTCCCCTCCAAATGGGGCCCGTGTACCTACCCCGGTAACTCTTCCAGTAGCAGCAGTTGCCAAACCTACAACTTATGCTCCACTCGGAGCACACAGTGGAGTATGATCCTTATTAATGTTTCATATGGTTTTGACAATGGATGTCAGGGATGTTCATTATCTGATGCTAACCTTTTTCATATGGCTCTCTGTTTATTGTAGCCTTTTCCACCAGCAGCTGCAGCTGCAGCTGCTAGTGCTAATGCTTTAGCAGGGTGGATGATAAATCCTAATCCTTCCTCATCAGTTCAATCAGCTGTTATTGCTGCTTCATCATTATCTGTTCCACCAAATCAAGGTAAGTCTGCCATGGTTATTGATTTGGCACTTCACTAGTTGCAGTTTGCGAGATTCCATGATTGTCAAGATAACAATGCACTAAACAGGAACATCTTCATTAATTTTACTAATGTGTTACTCTTTTCTGTTATAGCAGTTGCTGTTTTGAAACATCCAAGAACACCATCCAATACACTTGGGATGTTGGATTATCAAAGCTCTGATCATGAGCAGTTAATGAAACGTTTGAGGTCTGCTCAACCTGTTGATGAGGTATTTAGAGTTTGAAAACCTTACATTCTGTGTAGCAAATTCAGTACACATTCCTTTTCTTGTGTGTTTGTGCTATTGGATAAATGGGTGGTGAAAACTTAGAGAATTGTTAATCACTGTCTTTTAGGTTACATATCTGGCTCCTCAACAAGCTTCATGGTCACTTGATGACCTTCCCAGAACTGTTGCTTGTTCCATGTATCAGGGATCCAATGTGACAAGCATGGATTTCCATCCTTCTCATCACACATTACTTGTTGGTAGGATTGTTGACTATAATCTACATTTGTAGTGCTTTTAAGTGATTTTAATTGACAGTCTATATCTGTTCTTAAGTTGTTATGGATTATTTTATTGAGTAACTTTCTATGTATTTATGAGCAGTTGGTTGTGCCAATGGTGAAATTACCTTATGGGACATTGGGATGCAAGAGAAGCTGGTGTCAAAACCATTCAAGATATGGGATATGGCAAATAGTTCGGTTCCATTTCAGGCCAGTGTCCCCTTTTTGAGTAACTGATTTATATGATATTTCTTGTTATATTTCTTAAAAAGTGGAAACCTTTTACTGGTTACTGGTTTAGCACAAATCATTTGACAAGGGAAACTAGTCTGTGCTATTTATCTGCCATGCAAATGACCAAACTGATTCATCTTTGTTATAAATTTTCCTTCTGGTGATATTGTGGTTATTTCTGCTGCCACTACTGCTCTTTCTACTTGGGTTTATTGTCAAAAGATCCATACCAATGTAATTGCCAATTTAAAAAGGCTTCATTTTATTCAGAAACTACAACAATCAATTTTGCTGCTGCTTTTACATCCCAATTAGGAAATCTTTGCAAAGAAAATATTTTTTCTGTTCTATTAAAAACGACATTGCAATTGTTACTATTGTCACAACTGTTTCAACAGTTCCATGGCTTGTCTGGTTGATTTGAAATACCCAATCTGCCAAAGTCATTTCTTTTATTGTCTGTTACTCTTTCAAATATTCCTGAAACTGAATAAATGTTCGCATACTACTGGATTTTTTCTCTAGTTCAAACAATAAGGGATTATAACAAAGAATTTCTTGCAGGCCCCTATTGTCAAAGATTCAT